TATTACCAGATCTTAGGCTTCTGTGGCACGTTATCTTGCGTTTGGTGTAGATATTGCATGTGAATTAATGCAATATTAATGTGTTCGAATTCGCTATACGTATACACAGCCGTTCGTAGATATGATTCGGCGGGGTCTTAGATCAGAGACGGCAGAGAGCTAAAGTCACGCTTTTCTACGTATTACACCTTTTCGAAGTTCGTCCATCGAAGCTGATATGCACATAAGCAATTGCACAAATGTCCAATGACCAAGTTTCATAGCTAGAAGACCTTCCAGTGGCCATGAAGACATGCACGCCCCTTACAAGGCTATGGAGGTCTCTGTAGAGACTACGGCTGTGGAACGTTTGAACAAAGATCTCGTGACACGAGAGCTCTACATCATGTCTGGCTCTGACTATCAAAATATTAAGGCGAACTCCCTTTCTAACTTTACTCTAGGTCACTCCTGCATAGAATTGTGTCTTTACAATGTAAGCAAAACATACCCAATTACTGTTTGTAAATGAGACTTTAGATTGTATGAATCATGAGAGGATTTTGTCGATGCCTGATATACTATATTTGGGCCGTTAGACCTAGGGAATGTGTAATGTCAATTTGTAAAGGCAGAGCGAAAAATGTGCTCAATGACTGGTTTCCAAGAGACGTCCCCTGTTAATGGCTCATTTCATTCATTTAATAAATCAGTTCAGCGAGTAATGTGCCAATTGATTCGTTCACATGGCTAAATTTATCAAGTGAAAACTGCAAATAAGCATCTGTAGCCTTCTCTTCAACGACTGTTGTAGCCTCATCGTCATTAATCCCGAGAAATAAACTCGGTTTTCTTCTTACCCTAAGAAGTCCATCGTCTAAAACCAAGACAATATAGATGTGCTGCGCCAACCATTCAGATATGCATGGCGATTTCACACGTTGCAGAAATCTCAGCTCTGGTGCAGTATTCAGTCGATTTCCAATTCTGAGGCTAGCTCGAGTAGATGATGATTTATCCTTTGATGCAATTAAATATGTTTTATAAATTCCTACAGCCAATTCAACGGAAGTTTATAGCTATAAAGTACATGTGTAGTCAATTCTTGCACTGTCATTAGTTACATTATCCATCCTATACCATAAAGTGGGGTTTCTTGGGGGCCCGGTCCTGTGGGCGTTCTTTTGCGGGGGTGGCGGTTTCTGAGTCGAGGCACTCCCTCGCTCTATTTTCTCTGCTAAAAATCATGTGATTGATCAAGAATTCACAGACTGTAATTTTTCTTGCCCGCTTTGGTGTGTCAGGATTATAGGCATGAAGTGAGTGAATTTCTATGTTTGAACTCTCTTCGTATATAGTGGCCTAGAAGAATACTTACACTAGGACCGCATTAATCTTTGCCTCGAATGACGTACGTTTGGGTGTTTTCACAAATCTGGTTGAAGTGCACAAAGCTGCATATATGAGATGCCTGCATCTGATTAAAGTAAAGATGGGATCTTTAGGCTATGAATCTATCGATCGAAAAATTCTATAGATGAGATCGGGGCTCCAAGCCTTCGAAAACTGGCAGCTGGTGTTACTGCCGTCTGTTTAACATTTCTTCAGACTTAGGGAACAGTTCTAATCCACGTGTAATCATCAGCGCACAGAGACATAACCCCAGCCCTATAGCTAACAACGCATACGCGTGCGAAGAGAACGAAATGCTCAAAAACTTAAAAAGCAAGGCAATATTGAAGGCGATAGTCCGTGAAATATGTTTCAGTCAAATTTTGGGACCGATAGGGGTAAAATCTCAATGCATTAGATGTACAGTCATTTGTAATAACTTCTTCAATTGAGCATGCATAAGCCTAGGGCTGGCCCGAGAGTGTGTGGTCATAGGACTTTTGCCAAGGATGATTTATTAAGCGGGCCTATCAGATCATTTGCAATTGCAACAAGCAAAAATAAGGCGTATGCAGGAAAAGAAAGTGCAGGGAAAGTGGAGACGTATCTGACAAGATTACTCGGAACCTTCTCATGCCAGATCGATCTATACCCAGGAACGGGTTCGAAGTCGAATTCACCAGGTCAAGCTATGGGTGTGTAAACGCTGAATAAGTATCTAGAAATTTCTGTTTTCGAAGTTATTGGGGGTAATATCGGTATTAGGGAGAAGGAATATCGCTTGAACCTCTGTCCCCACAAGCACATAACGTTTACACCACCTAATTACATAACTTAGGAATGCACTATAAAAATCATTAACCTTTAGTGGGGTTCGACTCACCTGCCACGTTCTATGGCGCTCCACCGACCAGGCCCTCGGGATGATTAACCCTTACATACCTCTCTGCAAATTTGCCGAAGGACCTGGACGCCCAGGAATTCTTACTAGTCAAAATAAAACGGTCAACAAGCCAGTCCCGGTAGTTTGGGTTTCAAAGACTTATTTCGAGCTTCCGTGAAAGTGCACTTTTCGGCACTCGGACGGCTAGGCAACCACCATCCCCCGATCTTCAGAGACATTTGTTCCCGCCGACAAGCCCGAATGTTTTCGCGCATCCAATTCGGCTCACGAGCCTATGTTGCCCTGCGAATTTGATATCTTCACGTTTAATAAAGGTGGAGACAGAATTCATACAACAATGTTAGTTGGCGGGCCCGGGAATGCAATAAAAGATTCTCCGAAACAAGCGACGTCGGAGACGACTTTGACGAGAAGAAACGAGACAGGAAATTACAGCAAAGGTTGTGGCTCTCCTAAGGCAACAGTCAAGCGTACAGATCATGACTGGCTGAGAGAATGTATGAGGATGGAAAGAACTAGAGATGCGTACATCATGAAATCTCCAAAGATCCTGAGCTGCTCAACTCACATATGGAGTCGCTTGTAACTGTTCTGCCTACTAGCGCGCAGGCGCGGGCTTAGGCATGCCGCCAAGACCGCCATCCAGCAGAAGCTCAAAGGTACGCACTTTCTAATCATTGTAGCCTTCTCCTCTCTGTGAAAAAAGATGTTTTTAGTAACAGGAGACAATAGTTCGTTTCATTCCGGATCACCATGCGGTTTTCCTTGCTGATCACCACAGCACATGTATACGTAGGCACTACACTTGGCGCGCTGGTCCGTAGCTACATGTACTCGGGAAGCTTGAGATATCGATTTGTATGCATGATCCTCAGCCAGATTCCCATATGTCGAGTTCTGAAAGTGGGAAGGGTTGACTCTCATTCAGCACATGGAAGTGACAAACATACATAATAGTCTAATTATTGACATGGATCATGAGCAATTGGCCAATTGGAAGGCTCCCGGTGTAAGAAATGGCTTGAGGGGTTCAGCTGTCGTCTCATTTTCATCACATATATAGTGGGGATTTGTACGCTTTATTGATCATGATTGGTAGCCGCCGGTCTCAATTGGGGCAGTGGATTCTCATGATAGTAAGTTATGTCCATACATGAGGTACCGGCGCGCGTTTCCGGTGTTGTGTGTGAATGTTAGTGTGGGTGTGCCCTAAGGCAATTAGTCAATGCGGTAGTTAATGTGTGTCTAGGTGCTTTTGGAGAATCGTCAACTTGAGTAATTCTGGCACCTCAATCATTGGCAGGTGCTCAAATTGTAGTATAGTTGTACCAACTGTATGTCTTGTTTCAGATGTGATGTCTCATATTCATTTTAGAGACACTTGGTAAGACATGTTGACCAATAGAATGTCCATAGCTATATATGTTCAAATATTCAGCTTGGTCAATCGCAAGAGCTGGATTAGTATTTGCAGACGTCCATGACGGGCGATGATGCTGAACCTGCAGCTGCAACCAATAATCATCAGATATCTTGAACCGTCCGCCCCGGTCTAAGCAACTGAATCAGGGGATACATGAAGCTTGATGAAACCGTTACCTGGTAATAGTAGATATTTTACAAGTCTATTCTTTAACAGTTAAACTCTGATTGATTTCGAGATATTAATTCCTCCTGCTAGCTGAATTAAGTAACGCAATGACGAAACCTCCTGAAACCGGGAAACTGTTAAGAAAATCCACAAAAAAAAATCTTCCCTCTAGTACAACGATAAGCCAAGGTTCAGAAGGAACTTTCTCTTCACGTTTAGCTATAGTGTTCCTAATAATACATACTGAAAGTGTATTTCCTGGGAGACGAGTATTCGTTTATTCTTGACATGTTTCAATTCAACTTTCACCCAGGTTCATATAAGTGTACTTCGAAACGAATAGCAATATACACGGGTATTGCGGCATGAGGAAATAAGTCAGCATTAACGAATACCTCGAAACAAAGAAAGTCTTGTGTATATGTACGTATAGCTTTAGTGTTCAACCTGTAGAACAAATTTAAACGATTTTCTCGCCCTAGGCCTAGAAATACCAGCCAGTTCTCAACCACGTATCCCCTTCTCAACCACGTATCCCCTGTACTACATACCCGCTTCGGCACATATTGTTTTTCTGCACTTTGTTTACTTCCATCTTGCATTCTGGTTTTATCTTCGACACTATTGGACACATTGACTGGTGTAACGGCTTTCAGGTATCTAGTAGCTACTTTGGTACAGCAGATGGATTCATCTCATGCTCTCATTAATCGTATCTGCACTGGGGAGGCTGCGGGTTCAGCATGTGGCTTATGATATGGGATGGGATTGCAAACTAATCCAAGTACCTTAGAAGGCTGAGGAGTAGAAACTTAATGGGTGGGGGTTATGTATATAAGAGACTTTCACCCTCCCGTTCTTTTTATCATTAGTACTTCGGTGCATCAACAAACAGTAGCTCACAATTGCGAACACCTATATCGATCTACAGTCCTTACAGCTTCGGTCTATAATAAAATATCATTATTGAACACGTACTACTCTTACTTGAAAGCGAGCCAACAACTTCCAAAACAATATCAAACATCTTACTCAGCTCGCACATAACCCTCACTTTTCTTTTTCTCAGAAAAGTATTGATATATATTCTACCCAAAACCACAATCAAGCCAACATCACATTCAGTGATATCAAATGTCGAGCTACCCCACTCCAGGATCCTCGAGTAGTTTTACAGCATCACCAGGCACTGTAATTGAAGAAGAGCAGAAATACGCAGTCGCAAGGATCGGTAACGCCCAAGAGCGAAGAAGAGAACAGAACCGCAAATCACAGCAAACATACCGTACGCCTTCTCCACTCCGCATAGATAAGGCAAGGCTCAGGCTAATCATTCACAGGTGCCAAGCATAAGAAAGGCGCGGAAAAGATAGAATTTCTTATCAGGGAGGATAAAGAGGCCGAGGAGAGAATTCTGTTGCATCCCAAGTTCCCTCTTTGCCCTGAATACGAGCGGCACCTTGCACAAGGCTTTGTTTTTGACGAAGAAACCTACGGAAACGTTGATTGGTCCGTCGGGCCATCCTTTCCTATAGCCAGCATCATCGGACGCCAATTTATGCCTTCTATTCCGCCAGAGCTTGTTATTCCAGCCGAATCCTGGCTAGAAGCGACAGGACCTCTGCAGAATGGATATGAGTTTTTCAAGAGACATGTTCTCATTATCATGAACGCTATCGACATTCACTTGCCTCAGTTGGGGATTACAACAGAAATGTTGATCGACAGATTTTTAATTTCCCCTTATGTGATGCCCGAGAATACATACAATGAGGAATTGGAAGCGAGAATCAACGGTTTGAAGGAATACATTCCACACCTAGCTCCAGTTGATCTCCAAAGATCAATCCCGCACCACCCTTACATCGATCTTATCCCCTTCCCCGCCTTCCGCACCACAATCCTTGAGATTCTCCGCGACACTCCCAACACAATCAACCAAGTCGACTTTTGCCAAGACATTGAACTTGGGGGTCTTAGGCTCTGGGGAACGCACTCATACGAACCCATGAGTTACGAATTGACCGAGGCCTTTGCTGCCAAATGGGGATATCTGTTCTGCCGAGATGCCGTTGCCCTCAACGCTACAAACTACTGGCGAAATGCACGCGGAGAGCATAGCCTAGGGCCTCTTGATTTCGGGGGTTCTCCAGGTGCTGGGAGCTCTCAGAATTCATTTTATGACTTATATCTAGTGCAAATGATGAGAGAGTCATTGGGTTTATAATCCACACCTCTGGTTGGATAGACACGAAAACGGCCCCCAATAAAGCATTAAGGTTCTACGAAATATCTTTTTTTTAAATTGTGTATCCCGAGTGGAACTACTGGAAGCGCAAATTTTCTAGCATTGAAACTTCAAAAAAGATGGAGATATCTGAGCCCAAGCGGCAGAACCCTTGGATATCTTTTGCTGAGCGGTTTGAAGAGTCAATCATGGGTCTTACACCTATTAGCAGGCCGGAATAAAGGTCATATAAACAAAAACATACATTTTCTTGTCAGCCCTCAACTCGTTTATCTATTTATGTTTTTTTCTTTTTGTTCTGGGTTTGATTTCAGAAAATATTTAAACATGTCTCTTTTCTATTAAGTTATTTCTTGTCCGGATTTTACTCTGCAACACGTCTTATGAGCTTGGATTTCGGTTTTATTAAATAGATTACCAGGATTAAAATCATTACAAGGATAACAATTCTCAATGCCCCTTCCAGGCCATACATCATAGAAGTATAGAAATTATTTAAGTAAAGTAGAACCGTATGTATGTAACGAGTGATATTTCATGACACAGTTTACTTATTAACCGTCTAAATATAGCATCAAGTGTTACTAGTGTAGCCAGCGTGAACGACAATATTCCAAGAGCCACCAAAATTTTCTTTTAGTTATCAAGTTTTACATTATTATTCGAAGCAATACTACTAGAATTCAAGCTTATTTATGAACCTCGAAACCAGAGGGAGTACTAGCTGGCTGAATATTTACAGCAATTGAAATATAAATGTGGGTTGCTAGGTAGACTAGGCCATGAGCTGCAGGCATGAGTCATTGAAGAGTTTGCCTAGAAAACCCTTTAGACGGATAGAAGCTAAGACTAACCCTACGTGCGTGAGTGAATCAATTGGTGGTAGTCCAAAGTGTTAAAAATCTCATTTCGCCTCAAGATGATTGATAATCGGAGCTCTTCCATACCTATCATAAGACGTTGCGCAATTGTACAATTACACAATTACAAGTGCTACCAACATGAGACATGGTAACACGTTGTACCAAGCGGGCGTCGCATGCAATCAATGGCCACATAATACTTACCAAAGCTGACAGCTTTCACGACATAATAGATATCGATACATACGACAATAAAATCGCTCTTGGATAACTGACTACATAAAACATAACAGGTCATAGTAGGCCCGATTACAATCATGTACCACTTGAGACAAGAATAACCCTAGTTGACCTACTTTGCAACGTCGAATATGATTTCCTGGCCAGTGACTACCTTGTAAATATTGGTGGTACACTGGTCATGAGCCAAATTTGGAATAAATACATATGAGGCCCTTCTAATATGCTCCATGAACCCTGTAGTGTAACTCATGCGCAGAGCCTCATTCTCAGAGCCTCGCCCATCAATTACAAGCCAGCCCCTGATCGATGCCTTAATGTTTCGCACAACCTTTACGAAAAACGTTTATCTAAGGAAGCAGTACTACAAAGACTAAGTTTCTGATTGCAGGGAAAGGTAAAAACCCATTACCGTGCTTTCTGGAATGCGGCACGGACTCGTCTCCGATCGAAAATGTTGAAACAAGGATCACAGTGTTTATTGCGAGAGTTAGTTTATCATGATCACTCGATCATGATCAAACCGCAGCTTGGGGGCTTCCTAAATGAGATCTGAGATCATGAAAGGTGATCTTGCCTTAATGCCTTATGTGAACTCGGGGTCTGCCTCTGGGTTTAATATGGAGTAAAAATCGGCTTTTAACCCTTCTTCAAAAAGGGATGGAATAGTTCAATAATTGATCGCTTATATATCTATGTGTATAAATCTTTTGCTATGTACATGAGGATTTCGATATTGTAGTCATGATGTTATGGTGCTCAGGGTTTTACGACGCTCAGAATCGTATGGCACTCAGCGCAGGATCTTATGTAATCATTGGCAAAAAATAAAGCCCTTTGTTCAAAAATAAAGCCCCCTTCCGGCATTAATTGTTCGTTGACAGAGGCGTAGGTAGTGTGTAGATTTGATGCAAGTATGTGGCGCTAGCCAAGAGGTAAGTAATCCTGGCCATGTGCGGTAACTATCACCGAGAGAGACAATCCGGTATGTTTATTGAGCTGCCAAGCCAATTATATCGTTGTTTCAACCATTTGCCGCAGATCCATATATGCTCCTCTTGAGCTCGAGGCCATTAACGCCGGCCGGCCCTGGTAACTATAAACAGCCCGTATCTAGTCTAGCAACAGTAGCAATAATTTCTCCGTTCGGGATGGCCCTTGAACTTCTCAGTATGACCCATTCAAGGCGTTTTTGTGCTCGGTCAAGAGTAGAGTATAGAGTCATGCCACCCTATTCACCGATATATAAGTACTTATGGTATAAATTGGATGAAAGGCCTAGGACGAACATTTGTATAGATATAGAGACTAAAGTCTTATAGCTTATTCAGCTCTTTTATAATCCTTACGTTCATCATTTTTCAGTCAGACCTAACTGTGAATATTAGCTCGTTCGAAACGTCGCGATCTACAGTGTAATAAAAAACCTACCCCACGATCATTACCCCCACCATGCGCTTACCCACCCTCTCACTCTTACGTCCCTCCCTCCTACTCCTCCTACTATCCACCTCTGTCTTGTGCCTACCTACCTCCACAACCACAAAAAAGGTCACAAAAACCGTTTTTGTCACCGCCGCCCCCACTAAAGACACTCATAACAAGCCTCAGACCAAGCCCGTCGCAGCCAAGGGTGCGCCCGCTCCAACACCAGCCGTCACCCCCGCCCAAGTACCAAACGCAAAGACCCCTCCACCCGCAAACCCACCAAAACCACCCACACCTCCACCAAAAGCAGACACAACCCCGCCCAAACCACCAAAATTGCGCCGCCAACAAGCTGTCGAAGTAGCAGAGTGTGGCAAAGATTCCCCCGGGAAGAAGTCATGCCCGAACAACGCTTGCTGCTCGTTCTATGGGAATTGCGGCATTGGAGATGATTTTTGCGGGAGCCCTGATCCGGCGGCGCCGTGCCAAAAGGACTATGGACGCTGTGGGAAGTCGACGGCTGAGACGCCGAGTTGCAACGGGGCGAGCGCTAAGGCGAGGAAGGTGGGTTATTATTTGTCTTAGTAAGTGGTGCGGTTTTTTTTCTTGGTTGGAGTATTCCCGGGGTGTTGTCGTCGATAGCAGGAGCTAGTAAGAGGCGGATAACAAATGAGGATAAATAGAAGTCAGAGTCTAATCAGAGTCAATTGGGATATATAGTGCATATGAGAGAGACTGTGATGCTAGCAAGCCAGAAAGTATGAAAACAGCAGGACTGACACACATCAACTTCGCATTCGCCCTGTTTGACGGCGACAACTTTGACTTTTACCCCCAGCGTGAGGGCGACGAGAAGTTATATGCAAGCTTCACTGCACTCAAGAGTGACAAATTGCAGACGTGGATCGCCATCGGTGGTGGTCTCTTCAATGTAAGGAAGCCCATTTAATTTCACGCTAGACGTCTCAGTGTTGTCGGGAGCTAGGGGTGACCAGATATCACAACACACAGCAGGGTTTCCAAAACTGCATACGTAGGCCAATCTTAGTGTTGCGAGATACCACGTCGTGTGTTGTGATATAGGGTAAACCTAGTGTTCCGAAAACAGTTGTGACCTATCTATTGTGTTCGTTCATCTCTAACACTTTATAGAATCCTGATCAACCCACCAAATCGAACTGGGCAACAATGTCCTCCACCGCAGCCTCGCGTGCAACCTGGATCGCAAACCTCATAAAGTTCATGGCAAAGTACGGCTTTCAAGGGGCCGATCTAGACTGGGAGTGGCCATGTGACCCAACTCGCGGTGGTACACCAGCGGATACAAAGAACCAGGTCTTGTTACTGAAGGAGTTGAGGGCAGCATTTGGAACAAAGTATGGGTTGAGCTCGGTGCTGGTGACCGACTATGCAGCGTTGAAGGATATGGACGTCAAGGGGATGGAGCCATATGTGGACTTTTTCAACTTCATGTCTTACGACTATCACACACCCGTTGTGAGTATTGCTCTTTCCTTATCATCAATTCAACTGAAGTTTTGTTAACAGGAATTTTGATAGGATGCGCCGAAACCTGATGCGCAGGCACTATCACACACGAATATCACAGAGACAGACTCGAAGCTTGTCCCACTCTGGCACGCGGGAATAAAACCTGCTAAGATCAATCTCGGGTTTGCACTCTACGGGATGACATACCAGATGAAGCCCACCTGCCTCGAAGCCGGATGTCCCTACGTTGCCAAAGGAACCGCCGGAAAGTGCTCTAAGGCTGCCGGCTCACTTACGAACCTTGAGATTACAAGATTAGTTGCAGCTGGTGGGACCAAGAGCGTATTACTTGAAGGTATGAATTGTTTACTTGGAGACGTAGGAATAGAGAGGCTAATGTAGAATAGATGCGCTGGTAAAGCAGACTTTGTACGGTGGTAATCAATTGGTCTTGCATGATGATACGGAGACACTCGAGATGAAGACAGCCTTTGCGAGCAAGAGATGTCTGGGCGGAACAATGTACTGGAGTGTTGACCAGGGACTTTAGACGTGGAAATTTTGGAAACATCTGAGGATGAGTATATTAGACTTGGAGATTGGCGTACAGGCATTTTAGGACTTTATTTTGGTTTTGTAGACTTTGGAAGTACATATTAGACTTGGGGATTGGCGTACAGGCATTTTAGGACTTTATTTTGGTTTTGTAGACTTTGGAAGTACATACATGGCGGGAACAGTGTATCTTATTATTAGATTTGTAGTTTGGACGGTGCTGGCTGTTTCTTGTATTCGCTAGAGTCTAGACTGGACCGAGCATAAATTACGATCGATCAAGCTGATGTAGACTAAGCAAAAACAAGCATGTATTGATGAGAGGATGGTAGTCTAAGAGTGACAGAGACGGAGACTAATCTAAGTGTTTGTTTATGCTACGTTTCTTCTTCCGCCTCTGTT